CCGCGGGCGCCCCGGGAGCCCCTCTCCCGGGGTGCCCCACCTGGCTCCAGGTAGGTGAACTGGGCCAGCGAGCGCATCTCCAGCTGCTCGATGTCAAAGGTTTCGGCCTCCCGCCCCGCCAGGTGCCTGACGAGCTGCCGGCTGACCACGCACACACAGCCCAGATGGATCAGGGCACGGAAGAGAAGCGGCACCTGTAATGTTGGGGAGAGACATGGTGGAACAACATTCCACTACCAAGCTCCTCTCAGGTGTTTCAGACCTAGAACAACCTGGCTTAAAAACTATAGGCAGGACACACCTCAGGTGCTGTCCTTGCCGGTGCTGCAGATACAGAACAGGTATCTCAATTCACATGTGCTCCTACGTAGCCCCAGATCGCACCATTACGGGCAGCAGCAGGTACTTTGGAGGACGTGTGGAGGATATCTGGGCAATCTGGCAGCTCTGCAGCTTGTGGTTTGGCACTCCCTTGAGACAAAGGCTTCATCTGAACCACCAGATAACCGGCACAGTGGGATACCCACTACTGACTCACCCTGTTTTATTAACCCTACGGCTGTCAACTCCATTGCTGCAGAAGACTCCTACTGAATGACTTGCTGTGGGACCTAGTCCCAAAACAACGAGAAGCCATAAACATTCCTTGCCTAATCACACTTCCTTCGCGCCAGTTATGATTTTATAGACCCCCTAGTACATGCCATTTTCAGATATCTTCAGCAAGCTGAAGCACTCCCATGTCCCTAAATCCCGTCCCTGCAAGGAATGCCTTCCCTCCCTCGCATCCTCCTCATCATTCTACTGTGCTAGTCCCGCTACATTTTTTGGAGACTGTGCTCAGAATTGCACTGCATGTGTTTAAAGATCAAGACAGATGTTTCCTTGCCCAGGACTTTGTCCAGCTAGGTTCTCTGTATCTCTGAGGACAGAAACTCCACAACCCTCTGGGCTACCTGCCTGACCACCCTTGCAGGAGGTTTTATCTGATGTTTACACAGGATTTGCCATGTTTCAGTTTGTGCCTGCTGCCTCCCATTCTCTCCTTGGGCACCACTGAGAAGAGCCTGGCTCCTCTCCTTTACTCCTCCCACCGAGAAGATCCCCTGAGCCTCTTCTCCTCCAGGCTGAACATCGGTCAGCCTCCCCTTGCAGCCTCTTGCCCCTCACAAAGCATTTTGCAGCTGATGGCACCACTGCTCACACCAAGCTTGTCCTACTTAGGCAAAGACTTTCAGTCCATAATAATTCTATGCTGCATTTTGGTGGCAAATTTACTTGCCTTCATGCTTTCTTTAACATACAGCTCCACTCTTACAATGGTGCAACCTACTCTGCCACTTCCATGTAGGTCAGGTCCTGACACTACAATGTCTTCTTGATTAAATTCCTGTCACCAAGTTTTGAACTGCTGAACAAACCAGTGTCCTCATTAGAAGCAGACATCCCAGATTCCCACCTTCATTTTCAGGCTTTCAGCATTAATAGCACAGTTGAAATTAATTTTGGCTTGATTGCTTTGTACTGAACTTTGTTTAGGTTGTTCTTGATCTTCCTGAACTTTCAAGTTGTATGCTATTCTTCTTTCTAAAGCTTTTGTAACCTCGTTTTAGAGGACAGGGCACCCAGACCTATCTACGACTCCACACGTGTTGGGTTGTCCCCCCACCTTTACGCTAAGTACCCCTTATCTTTTCTGGTTCAGACACCAGCAAGCTGGTTCTGGTTTGGTCTAGAGGAAGATCACCCCTTCTGCTTAAATGCCTTCTTTCCCCAAAGTTTCCTAACTCCAGATAAATGAAACCCCCTTTCCTTGACATGTCTTAAACCACGTGCTGATACTCAGTATCTCTGCCCGTACAAACATGAGTATATTCCCCAGGACTCTGCTGTGTAGGGTCTTTGATTTTTGGCGTTTCATCAAGCTGTTGAATTTTTAAGTGCCAAGTGTCCTCCTGTGCCACTGGCGCTCAGACTAAAGAGCTACCGCCCAAGAATCCTTAAAAACAAGCACCCAGAGGAGTTACCTGCGTCTCATACACTCCCTCGATGTCCGGAGCAGAGAGGTCGGCATTGATTTCATTGATGTGCTCTTGGTACATGTCTTCAGGGACAGAGTATTCGTACAGGTTGTAAACTAAGTTTGATCGGGGCAGGATCCTGTTCACCTGCTGAGGCAAGGGACACGCTCAGCAGGGCACAGCACACCACACAGCACCGCTGCCAGGAGCTGGGGCACTTCTAAGCACTGCAAGGACCTGGGTCTGAGCCAGCCCAGCTCCCGGTGCTCCCCTCTGCTGAAAGCAGTGGTTTATGCTCATGCATGTTGCGAATTTCCCTAACAGAGAACCTGCTTTCTGGGCCGGCTGGGGTTAGCAGAGGGACTGGGGGCTGGATGAGGTACATCCGTAGAACAGGAGAGTGAGGCCCTGCAAGGCAGATGCTTGTAATATCCGCTTGCAGCGGAGGCAAGCGAAGCCTTATCTCAATGCAAGCAGCTGTTTCCCCTTCCAGAAGGGGCAGGTCCTCACCCTCCTGTACGCTGCTCCCTCCTCCGGCTTCGGGACGCGCTGGTTGACGTAGAAGACCCGGGGGATGCTCAGCCTCATGCAGTGCAAGTCGCTCCCGATCACTGCCCACAGCCTGAACAGCCCAGGCTGGCTGGTCTCAGCGATCTGCAGGGCACAGGTGTACAAAGGGAGCGTTAGCAGGGAGATCCAACAGGTTATCAGTCCTTACTTCTAAGCTACCGAGCACTTTGTGGATCTCTATGGCCAGCTGGTGGCCACAAATAGAGCAGGGGGCTTAAAGAGTCATTGCTCTCAGCGCTGGAGTCCCCCCATGCCCTGCTGCTGTCCCAGGGCACCACAGAAAAAGCTCTGGCTAAGGCTGGCCAACCAAGTCAAGCTGACTGTTGATGCTGGCCAAGTCACTCTGACAGTCTGGACCAGCCGTCCCATCTCAAGCTCGTGCCTGCACAAGGGCAGCCCCACCTGGCCTCTCCAGGGTTAACAGCAGAGTGGTGCTGGGGTCAGCCGTCCCTGAACTTCACCATTTGACCACAGACAGTGTAAGTGTGAGGCCCATGCCATGGGCTGCGCTTGGTGGGAGGTCCCCCCTACCGGTACCTGCACAATCTGCCAGGGTAAGTCCAGGATGCTACGCGCTGTCTTGCGGAGGTAGCTGCTCAGCCCTTTGGAGAGGGCATCGCGGACCACTCCTCCACCTGCTGCCACCCCACCGTCCTCCAGACGCCGCCTCTTCCGCCGCTCCCGCCGCTGCCGAGCCTGCAGCTCCCACTTCCTTTGGTGGTAGGGGAGCCAGACCAGCCGCTCCTCCTGAGTGGGGTGACAGCACGCATGAATTGAGCCAGAAGCCAGTGTGGGCTTCCCAGCCCCCCAACACCGCACCATACAGCCAAGCTCTCCGACCCTCAGCCCCACATTACATTCCTGCCCCAGCTATGAAGCCACCACCACCCTGCTTTCCTCCAACAGTGGTTATATTTCTCCATCTCCTGGATATATTTTGCCTTGTAGCCCTGAGCCATGGGTGTGCAGAGGGTTTTCAGGAGACCCACAGCTCGCTCCTGTCAGCAACCAAGTTGCCTGGGTGGACAAGCACAGCCCCAGGGCATCTCCTGCCCAGTCTGCTTCACCTACCTTGGTGGTGCCCAGCGGCGGAGGCGGACCCAGGATCTCTCGCCAGGACTGAGATAGCTCCAGGTACTGGGACATCTGTTGGCTTTCCTCTGCTGCAGGGACTCGCTTCCGCTTATTTGCAACGGGGAGCGATGGCCGAAGGGTCTTGGCAGCCCCAAAGTCCTCTATGTCCCCAATCTGTGAGCTGGGCATCCCCTCTGGGGGCTGGTTGGAAAGGACCTGAGGGAGCAAGTACAGCAGGAGGAGAAGGGTTGCAGGAGAAGAGCCCCACCAGCACAGCCAGCACCTTTCCCTCACCCTCCTTACCTGTCTCTTGCCTTCTGAAGTGAAGAGCTCATTGATTTTTTTCTGTTTGTACACATCATTTTTCTCCAGGAGCTTCTTGTGGAGCCAGTCTGGGTGCCGGACCCGTGGCACTGGGTTCTTTACCTGGAGAGGTAAAAAAATCACACCAAGTCACACTGAGTCCCCCAACCAGAGCCCTCCTCCTGGCCCCCTCCCTCCACCCCAGCCCCACACCTGCTGCAGGGCTGCAGGAATGGTGATGATTTTCTGGATGGTGCTGCCCAGTCTCTCGATGTAGTAGTCCCAGTCCAGAATCTGCGAAGAGGGTAGGCAGAGCAGCAGGTAGTGAAAGAAACTGAGCAGAAGGCTACTAGACACAGGATCAAGCATCTCCTTAGGACCCCTGTCCCCAGCACCCCGCTCTGCAAGTGCAAGTAGCCACTGCCCAGGTCATGCCGCCGAAGGGACAAGCCCTTGTCCCAGAGCTGGAGCCATCTGCAGGGACGCCCCACTCACCGCGCGGATGTTGAAGTCCTGCAGCGAGGGGCTCTTCAGCCATTTTCGGAGGTAGTGTTTGCGCACGCTGGGCTCAGCTTGGAAGATGGCGAGGGGGATGGCCCTGGGGAAGGCACGGAGGCACTTGTCGCCCACCCAGAGCAAGGTCCTGGCAGCACACGATCGCCTCTCCCAGCCTGCAGAGACCCTCCAGGCTTCTCATCCCATCCCTGAAGGCCGCTGTGCAGATGTACAGCGTTACCCATCACTAGTTTTGCTCACAGTCTAAGCCAGCATACAGGTGATCCCTTGGCCACACCATACCAGCTTGCTCACCTCCTGCTACCCTGCCCTTCCCCTTTTGATTGCTCTCACACTGTCAAAAGCCCTGACCCCTCAAGATGGGGTTACCTCTCGGTGACCGGAGACCCTTCTGGTTTCTTGGAAATGATGAATCGGCAGCTCAGCCCTGCATCCTTCACCATCTGGTCCCCCAGGAACTCTGCCAGGCGCTTGGCAGTGCTGATGGAGGTGGACTTCTGCTCCCCATAGTCCTCCAGCTTGCGCGACATGGACCTGTTCTCCGAGATCAGCTCAAAGAGCTCTGAATCAGGCATGTTGGCAGCCTGAAAGGGAGGAAGAACCATAAAGCTAGCAAGAACCTAATGATCAAACCTTGCTGCTGTCAGATACGGGGAGCGCCTACACCTAGTTTGTGTGGCTCTTTACAGGAAGCCTGGGAATTGCTGCCTGTGGCAGGCGGCCCAGGTGGCTACTGAAGGTGCACGTCTGAGGCCTGCATCGGTTTCTGCTGTGGCAGCACTGCTTTGTGTTGCACACACGAAGTAGCTGGGCTAACCAATAACTTCTTGTACAAGGTCGTTGAAGAACGGAAGGACCCAGCTAGGCCCTCTGCCCTCTCACCCTCCAGTTTCTTGCGTTTTCTCTGCACTCCCCAGCTGTTGTGCAGCTGTGCTCCTCATACAACACTCCACAGGCAAGTGGCTCTGTCATTCTCTGCCTTGGCGAATGCCCTCAGCCAACATCCTTAGGGGATGAGGGCCACCACACAAGCGCCATGAAAGCGAACTGAAGAAGGACACCACTCACCCACAGTTACAGCTGAATGAGGAGCCCTTGTGCTAAAAGACACTAAAGAGCGGCCCGAGAACTCAAGCAGCAGAAGTAAGATGGAAGTGACTATCAGAGGCACAGTGGACCACCTACTCTGTGCAAGCAAAGTCCACCCTCCCCACAGTGCCTGAGCAGCTCTGACACTTCTCTGGCTCCACCTCAGGAACACAGACATGCTGAGTTGTGCTTACCTTGCTGTAGAGCACATCCAGCCAGTAATCTGCCACCTTGGCCACAGAAGCGTAGACCTCCTCCAGGGTGCTGCCTTTCAGAAAGGCTTCAAACACAGAAGACTGGAATATCTTCACCAGCTGCAGCTCTCCCCGGCGCTTCACCTCAAACCCCTTCAGCTCGGCCAGGGACCCATCCTCGTTGAATACTGCGTACCTAGGAGACAGAGCGTGGGCAAAACCTGGCCTGAGCCAAGGAACACATCCTCCAGGATCCCGCTGGTGTCCCTGCTGCCGGGGCACTCCTCCCGATGCCACCATCCGGCACATTCAGTACAGCCGTGGTCCTCGGCACTAGGATGGCCTCAGAATACCTACAGCTGCTTTACCAACCATTTCAACTTGTCTGCAAAAGCACATTGGCTCGTGCCCTGGCTCATCCATACCGACTGGGAGAACGGTCCTAACTGCACAGATGTAAAGGGCAGGAGGTGAGAGCCCAAGTGGGTAAATGGAGAAAGATATTAGGCAGAGGTTTAGAGAGAAGGAAACTTTGTCAGGTCAGATGACAGCAAGGGGGTTCAGAGGAAACCAGATGTAGCTATGACATGATCATAGGATCACTCCTACCTCTCTCAGTTTCTCTTGCATTATTTTGCATTTCACAGTCCTGCCAATTATTTGTATGTCTCAAGAAAAAAAACCTTATGGGGACATCAGCTAAGAGAAGAGAGGGGATACTCAAACCTCCATCACTTGGCCAGCCCTTCTCCCACCTGACCACAGCCGTCTCTTCCTCCACCAACGATGGTGCCTGCCAGCCAGCCCCAGGCTGTTTCGGCTGGAGAATGATCAAGAAATAAATGCACTTGCTAACATCCCCAAACTTCAAGAACCCAAGAGGCCCTAAGATAAGAATCCTACGAGCAGAGCCCACTCTGCTTGGCATTACCTTGACTCCTGTGGAAGGGACTCACTGCTTTCAGAAAGGCACTGACAGGAGACAGTGGATGATGGAGCTCATCCAATGGAGCATTGAGCACAAAGAAGCACAGAGCTGCAAGAACAGAGGGTGCTGGAGGGCAGCGACAGCATTTCTTGGAGCCAGACCCAGGTCTGCCGGCACCCCTTCAGCTAGTGGTTGCTGCTGCTCTAGGTTATGTTCCTACTCAGAAAGCTGAAGAGAAATCAGTGACGTTTGAGTACAACTATCCTATAACGTGACAGTAATGGCAGGACCTGTTCCTTCTTCCAAAAGAAGTATTTCCTTCTTCTTCTAGAAGTATTACTGGAGGTCTGTGAACTCCTGAGAGATGGGAAGGCAGGAACTGGGGACTGTAGCCAGATTAGGCTGAATATAAGCAGTATAAGAAGTCCTCAGAAGGAAAGTCAAAGTTCTGCACACCTCAGGGCCAAACAGGGAAATCGTGTTTGGTCACCAACTTGGAGAAATGCTGTTTTGCTGTTATCTTCTAAAATGTATTGACATAGCGTGGCACTGGAGGAAAGTGCATAGCTGGATTCAAAGATGATCTGGTCTAAGGAACCTGCCATTTAAAGTCAGCAAATCAAGCATGC